CGTGTATTAAACGCGTGGCTTGGATTTGGTTTACTCTTGAACGATCGGGCAAAAAATCGATCTTTTTTTCGCTACTTTTAGCTCAATTTCAAGTACTTATCTTCGTGAAACCAGTCAAAAATCATCTCTATTTCTGTAATAATATCTTCCATTCTATCAAATAGACGCATGAAATCAGAATCCAACCATAAATACCATGACAAAAGATACCTAGAAATTCCTGTTTTAAACCCCAAAATACAGTCAGAGTTTTTTTTCATTATGCACAGCTTGCTTCAAGATTTTTTTTATACTCCGCACACTGACCACACAGACCTCATTCTTGTCATATGTAGGCCTGCCAGCTTTCTTCCAACCAATTTGAAAGGCGCTATAATTTAGCTACAAGTACGGTTACCGCCCAGGCCCTGCAATGACGTTACGTACGTGACCGACCCTCAAAGGGTTAAATGTTTTTAGCTTAGAATTTTTCTTTTTTAACCCTTTCAGGGTTTTTGACGTACTAGTACGGCTTACGCACCAGGGTTATTGACGTACTAGTACGCCTAAATTTCTAGCGCTTTCAAATCTAGCGAAAGAAGGCTGGTAGCCTCCATATGAAAGAAATGGTCTATGTGGTCCAGTGGCTCAGTATAAAAAAAAACCAGCAGCACCCAATCGTAATGAGAAAAAAAATTTGAACGTGTTTTTGGATTAAAACAGCGATTTTGCACTGTATTTTAGTATGGAATTTATGGTTGTATTCTAGTTTTCTTGGTCTCATATTATAGAAAGGAAGACATATTACAGAATTGAGATGATTGTGACTGTTTTTGCAATGAAAATAGTACCTGAAATTGAGCTTCAAATTAGCAGAAATGTTTGATTTTTACCAAAGTTCAAAAGTAAACAAATCAGTTGCCAAGCGTCCAATACAACTCAACTGGTGAGTCTAATATTCATTCACAATGCGCTGATATTATTTATACCATTTCTAAACAAAAGCAGTGTCTGCATAACAGTAAATCTTCTATTTTTTGTAAGAATAAAAAATCAAAGTGGAGAGCAAAAGAAATAAAGAGAGGGCCTGGGACGTGACTAATGAACAGAGAACTTGTTATTTTAGTGCCAGGAATGTCTTTCTTGTTTATTCTGGACCCTATTTGGAAATTGGCATCTTTTGAAATTTGTGTGAAATTGGCAAAATTGCTAAATTCTGACCACTGTATTGGATAGTTGAAATTGGTAAATGGGTGGTTTCTTGTACTCATTCGATAGAAAGAATGGAGTTCTAGCGACATAAATATGATTTTTGTTGACTAGTACAAAGGAATTGGCCAAAAATAGGGCTCGAAGTGGACGGAATTGCCGATGTGTAAACATCGGCGAGACCGCTAACATCGCAAGAGCATAATTCCATAAGTTTTTCATAAAATTTCATAATTTTGGTGTCATTATGATCGGGAAAAGATTCTCTATCATTTTATAAGAAAAATTTTTTTTTTTTTTTTCCGAAAAATTTTCCACCCTGAGAACAAGTTTAGGATAGGGCCTCTCGACCCTGAAAGGGTTAACAGACTGGCTATATCCCACTGAGGCATGGTGACCTAAAACTTAAAATGAAAACTTTTCTTTTTACATTTGGTAATTTATACAGGGAAAGGGGTTACTAGCCCCTTACTCCTGGCCCCTTGCTCCTGGCCCCTTGCTCAGCCCCGTGTTCCCGGCCCCGTGCTCCCGGCTCCTTGCTCCCGGCCCCTTGCTCCCAGCCCCTTGCTTCCGGCCCCTTGCTCCCGGCCCCTTGCTCCCGGCCCCTTGCTCCCGGCCTCTTACTCCTGGCTTCTTGCTCCCAGCCCCTTGCTCCCAGCCCCTTGCTTCTGGCCCTTGCTCCCAGCCCCTTGCTCCTGGCCCTTGTTCCCAGTGTAGACAGCCTGTACTGTCTGCACAGACAGCCCATGCTGTCTGCCAGCTTAGTTCATATTTCGCGTCATGCTGGTGCTGCCACCTAGAGGCCTTGCCACTTCAGTATGCCCAGACATGCCTCCATCTCACTCTCACAGCGGCCTAGCAACAACACACAAGGCCTCCCAGCTCTCTCTCGTGGGCATGGCCCTGCCCGGGCCATGGGCACAAGCACACAAGCCTGTGTAACCCAACACTAGTTATCAATAAAGTAAGAAGCCTCCGAAGACGTATATCATTTAACCACCCGCTACCAGAATACCAAATAAGCCCGTTATACCAGCCCCGTGCTCCCGGCCCCATGCTCCCGGCCCCTTGCTCTCGGCCCCTTGCTTCCGGCCCCTTGCTCCCAGCCCCTTGCTCCCGCCCCTTGCTCCCGCCCCCTTGCTCCTGGCCAATTGCTCCTGGCCCCTTGCTCCCACCCCTTTGTTTCCCACCCCTTGCTCCTGGCCCCTTGCTCCTGGCCCCTTGCTCCCGCCCCTTGCCCCCGGGCCCCTTTGCTCCCACCCCTTGCTCCTGGCCCCTTGCTCCTGGCCCCTTGCTCCCGCCCCTTGCTCCCGGCCCCTTGCTCCCGGCCCCTTGCTCCTGGCCCCTTGCTTCCGGCCCCTTGCTCCTGCCCCTTGCTCCTGGCCCCTTGCTCCTGGCCCCTTGCTCCTGGCCCCTTGCTCCTGGCCCCTTGCTCCCGGCCCCTTTGCTCCTGGCCCCTTGCTCCTGCCCCTTGCTCCTGGTCCCTTGCTCCTGGCCCCTTGCTCCTGGCCCCTTGCTCCTGGCCCCTTGCTCCCGCCCCTTGCTCCTGGCCCCTTGCTCCTGGCCCCTTGCTCCTGGCCCCTTGCTCCTGGCCCCTTGCTCCTAGCCCCTTGCTCCTGGCCCCTTGCTCAGCCCCGTGTTCCCGGCCCCGTGCTCCCGGCCCCTTGCTCCCGGCCCCTTGCTCCCAGCCCCTTGCTTCCGGCCCCTTGCTCCCGGCCCCTTGCTCCCGGCCCCTTGCTCCCGGCCTCTTACTCCTGGCTTCTTGCTCCCAGCCCCTTGCTCCCAGCCCCTTGCTTCTGGCCCTTGCTCCCAGCCCCTTGCTCCTGGCCCTTGTTCCCAGTGTAGACAGCCTGTACTGTCTGCACAGACAGCCCATGCTGTCTGCCAGCTTAGTTCATATTTCGCGTCATGCGGTGCTGCCCACCTAGGGGCCTTGCCACTTCAGTATGCCCAGACATGCCTCCATCTCACCTCACAGCCGGCCTACAACAACACACAAGGCCTCCCAGCTCTCTCTCGTGGGCATGGCCCTGCCCGGGCCATGGGCACAAGCACACAAGCCTGTGTAACCCAACACTAGTTATCAATAAAGTAAGAAGCCTCCGAAGACGTATATCATTTAACCACCCGCTACCAGAATACCAAATAAGCCCGTTATACCAGCCCCGTGCTCCCGGCCCCATGCTCCCGGCCCCTTGCTCTCGGCCCCTTGCTTCCGGCCCCTTGCTCCCAGCCCCTTGCTCCCGGCCCCTTGCTTCCAGCCCCTTGCTCCCAGCCCCTTGCTCCCAGCCCCTAGCCCCCGGCTCCTTGCTCCCGGCCAATTGCTCCCGGCCCCTTGCTCCCGGCCCCTTGCTCCTGGCCCCTTGCTCCCGCCCCTTGCTCCCGGCCCCTTGCTCCCTCCCCTTGCTCCCAGTCCCTTGCTCCTGGCCAATTGCTCCTGGCCCCTTGCTCCTGGCCCCTTTCTCCCGGCCCCTTGCTCCTGGCCCCTTGCTCCCGCCCCTTGCTCCCGCCCCCTTGCTCCCAGCCCCTTGCTCCTGGCCAATTGCTCCTGGCCCCTTGCTCCCACCCCTTGCTCCTGGCCCCTTGCTCCTGGCCCCTTGCTCCCGCCCCTTGTTTCCCGGGCCCCCCTTGCTCCCGGCCCCTTGCTCCTGGCCCCTTGCTCCCGCCCCTTGCTCCCGCCCCTTGCTCCTGGCCCCTTGCTCCTGGCCCCTTGCTCCTGGCCCCTTGCTCCTGGCCCCTTGCTCCTGGCCCCTTGCTCCTGGCCCCTTGCTCCCGGCCCCTTGCTCCCGCCCCTTGCTCCTGGCCCCTTGCTCCTGGCCCCTTGCTCCTGGCCCCTTGCTCCTGGCCCCTTGCTCCTGCCCCTTGCTCCTGGCCCCTTGCTCCTGGCCCCTTGCTCCTGCCCCTTGCTCCTGGCCCCTTGCTCCTGGCCCCTTGCTCCTGGCCCCTTGCTCCGGCCCCTTGCTCCTGGCCCCTTGCTCCTGGCCCCTTCTCCTGGCCCCTTGCTCCGGGCCCCTTGCTCCTGCCCCTTGCTCCTGGCCCCTTGCTCCTGGCCCCTTGCTCCTGGCCCCTTGCTCCTGCCCCTTGCTCCTGGCCCCCTTGCTCCTGGCCCCCTTGCCTCTTACAATATGTATGACTTATGGAGGAAGAATTCTCTTAGAAATGGTTATATTCTATTTTTTTTTGTATAGTATTTAGTGTTGCAAAATTGTGCAATTGACCTAATGCAAAGATTGGTGGAGTCTTGATTCATTTTAGAACAATCACACAACAGTTGCTTTACTTCTATTTACCTAACTCCCATATTTACCTTATTCCCATATTTACCTAACTGTCCTATTTACCTAACTCTCCTATTTACCTAGCTGTCTGATTTACATAACTCTCCTATTTACCTAACTGTCCTATTTGCTTAGCTGTCCTATTTACTTAACTCTCCTATTTACCAAACTGTCTGATTTACCTAACTCTCCTATTTACCTAACTGTCCAATTTACTTAACTCTCCTATTTACCTATCCTGTTTACCTAACTGTCCTACTTACCTAACTCTCATATTTACCTAGCTGTCCCATTTACCTAACTGTCTTACTTACCTATCCTATTTACCTAACTGTCCTGTGTACCTAACTCTCCTATTTACCTAACTGTCCTGTTTGTCTAACACTCCTATTTGCCTAACTGCCCTGTTTACCTAACTCCTCTATATACCTAATGGTCCCATTTACCTAACTCCTATATTTGCCTAACTCCCATATTTAGCTAACTCTAATATTTACCTAACTACTGTATTTACCAAACTGTCCTATTTTTCAGATAAACATAAAACATTCTGGGTATGCCAAATATGTGGAGAATCGCATTAGTGAAAACGACTTGATGGCGTTTGTGTGCGAGAGTAAGGACGATATGAACCTCTTCAAAGAACTGATGGACAAACAAGGCATCAGGGTAAACATAGTGGACTCAGGAGCCTCCAGCATGAACCAGTGTCACTCCAAGATACCTATACACCACCTCAGGTATCTTGTTAAATCTCCTCACACTTACAAGTAGTAGTAGTAGGTTGGTAGACAGCAACCACCCAGGGAGGTACTACCATCCTGTGGTAGTAGGTTGGTAGACAGCAACCACCCAGGGAGGTACTACCATCCTGTGGTAGTAGGTTGGTAGACAGCAACCACCCAGGGAGGTACTACCGTCCTGCCAAGTGAGTGTAAAACGAAAGCCTGTAATTGTTTTACATGATGGTAGGATTCCTGGTGTCTTTTGTCTGTCTTATAAATATGCAAGATTACAGGTATGTTTTGCTACTTCTACTTACACTTAGGTCACACTACACATACATGTACAAGTATATATATACACACCCCTCTGGGTTTTCTTTTATTTTCTTTCTAGTTCTTATTCTTGTTTATTTCCTCTTATCTCCATGGAGAAGTGGAACAGAATTCTTCCTCCGTATGCAATGCATGTTGTAAGAAGCAACTAAAATGCTGGGAGCAAGGGGCTACTAACCCCTTCTTCTGTATATATTACTAAATTTAAAAGGCGAAACTTTCGTTTTTCCTTTTGGGCCACCCCGCCTCAGTGGGATACAGCTGGTACATTGAAAGAAGAAGTAATGTTGAAAGATCAGTTATGGAAGGAGAAAAGAGAATATTAATGTGTAAATTCAAGAATTATGTGGATCAAAGTAAAGGTTGGATGCGAAAAGTGGGTCATAATAAGCGTGTATGCACCTGGAGAAGAGAGGAATGTAGAGGAGAGAGAGAGATTTTGGAGATGTTAAGTGAATGTATAGGAGCCTTTGAACCAAGTGAGAGAGTAATTGTGGTAGGGGACCTGAATGCTAAAGTAGGAGAAACTTTTAGAGAGGGTGTGGTAGGTAAGTTTGGGGTGCCAGGTGTAAATGATAATGGGAGCCCTTTGATTGAACTTTGTATAGAAAGGGGTTTAGTTATAGGTAATACATATTTTAAGAAAAAGAGGATAAATAAGTATACAAGATATGATGTAGGGTGAAATGACAGTAGTTTGTTGGATTATGTATTGGTAGATAAAAGACTGTTGAGTAGACTTCACGATGTACATGTTTATAGAGGGGCCACAGATATATCAGATCACTTTTAGTTGTAGCTACACTGAGAGGTAAAAGGTAGATGGGATACAAGGAGAATAGAAGCATCAGGGAAGAGAGAGGTGAAGGTTTATAAACTAAAAGAGGAGGCAGTTAGGGTAAGATATAAACAGCTATTGGAGGATAGATGGGCTAATGAGAGCATAGGCAATGGGGTCAAAGAGGTATGGGGTAGGTTTAAAAATGTAGTGTTAGAGTGTTCAGCAGAAGTTTGTGGTTACAGGAAAGTGGGTGTGGGAGGGAAGAGGAGCGATTGGTGGAATGATAATGTAAAGAGAGTAGTAAGGGAGAAAAAGTTAGCATATGAGAAGTTTTTACAAAGTAGAAGTGATGCAAGGAGGGAAGAGTATATAGAGAAAAAGAGAGTGGTGAAGCAATGTAAAAAGAGAGCAAATGAGGGAGTGGGTGAGATGTTATCAACAAATTTTGTTGAAAATAAGAAAAAGTTTTGGAGGTGAGATTAACAAGTTAAGGAAGCCTAGAGAACAAATGGATTTGTCAGTTAAAAATAGAAGAGGAGAGTTATTAAATGGAGAGTTAGAGGTATTGGGAAGATGGAGGGAATATTTTGAGGAATTGTTAAATGGTGATGAAGATAGGGAAGCTGTGATTTCGTGTATAGGGCAAGGAGGAATAACATCTTGTAGGAGTAAGGAAGAGCCAGTTATGAGTGTGGGGGAAGTTCGTGAGGCAGTAGGTAAAATGAAAGGGGTAAGGCAGCCGGGATTGATGGGATAAAGATAGAAATGTTAAAAGCAGGTGGGGATATAGTTTTGGAGCGTTGGTGCAATTATTTAATAAATGTATGGATGAGGGTAAGGTACCTAGGGATTGGCAGAGAGCATGCATAGTTCCTTTGTATAAAGGCATAGGGGACAAAAGAGAGTGCAAAAATTATAGGGGGATAAGTCTGTTGAGTATACCTGGTAAAGTGTATGGTAGAGTTATTATTGAAAGAATTAAGAGTAAGACGGAGAATAGGATAGCAGATGAACAAGGAGGCTTTAGGAAAGGTAGGGGGTGTGTGGACCAGGTGTTTACAGTGAAACATATAAGTGAACAGTATTTAGATAAGGCTAAAGAGGTCTTTGTGGCATTTATGGATTTGGAAAAGGCGTATGACAGGGTGGATAGGGGGGCAATGTGGCAGATGTTGCAGGTGTATGGTGTAGGAGGTAGGTTACTGAAAGCAGTGAAGAGTTTTTACAAGGATAGTGAGTCTTAAGTTAGAGTATGTAGGAAAGAGGGAAATTATTTCCCAGTAAAAGTAGGCCTTAGACAAGGATGTGTGATGTCACCATGGTTGTTTAATATATTTATAGATGGGGTTGTAAGACAAGTAAATGCGAGGGTCTTGGCAAGAGGCGTGGAGTTAAAAGATAAAGAATCACACATAAAGTGGGAGTTGTCACAGTTGCTCTTTGCTGATGACACTGTGCTCTTGGGAGATTCTGAAGAGAAGTTGCAGAGATTGGTGGATGAATTTGGTAGGGTGTGCAAAAGAAGAAAACTAAAAGTGAATACAGGAAAGAGTAAGGTTATGAGGATAACAAAAAGATTAGGTGATGAAAGATTGGATATCAGATTGGAGGGAGAGAGTATGGAGGAGGTGAATGTATTCAGATATTTGGGAGTGGACATGTCAGCGGATGGATCTATGAAAGATGAGGTGAATCATAGAATTGATGAGGGGAAAAGGGTGAGTGGTGCACTTAGGAGTCTGTGGAGACAAAGAACTTTGTCCTTGGAGGCAAAGAGGGGAATGTATGAGAGTATAGTTTTACCAACACTCTTATATGGGTGTGCAGCATGGGTGATAAATGTTGCAGCGAGGAGAAGGCTGGAGGCAGTGGAGATGTCATGTCTGAGGGCAATGTGTGGTGTGAATATAATGCAGAGAATTCGTAGTTTGGAAGTTAGGAGGAGGTGCGGGATTACCAAAACTGTTGCCCAGAGGGCTGAAGAAGGGTTGTTGAGGTGGTTCGGACATGAAGAGAGAATGGAGCGAAACAGAGTGACTTCAAGAGTGTATCAGTCTGTAGTGGAAGGAAGGCGGGGTAGGGGTCAGCCTAGGAAAGGTTGGAGGGAGGGGGTAAAGGAGGTTTTGTGTGCGAGGGGCTTGGACTTCCAACAGGCATGCTTGAGCGTGTTTGATAGGAGTGAATGGAGACAAATGGTTTTTAATACTTGACGTGCTGTTGGAGTGTGAGCAAAGTAACATTTATGAAGGGGTTCAGGGAAACCGGCAGGCCGGACTTGAGTCCTGGAGATGGGAAGTATAGTGCCTGCACTCTGAAGGAGGGGTGTTAATGTTGCAGTTTAAAATCTGTAGTGTAAAGCACCCTCTGGCAAGACAGTGATGGAGTGAATGATGGTGAAAGTTTTTCTTTTTCGGGCCACCCTGCCTTGGTGGGAATCGGCCAGTGTGATAATAAAAAAAAAAAAAAAAAAAAATATATACAGTGGACCCTCCCTTACGATGGCATAGCGTTACGTTAAGTCCACCATACGATACATTTAATGCAAAAATTTTACCTCACCTCACGCTAAAAAACTTGCCTTACGTGAGTCGTCCAGGACGCGTCCCACATGTGGCTTCAGCACCAGTGTTTACAAGCCAGCCAGTGTGGTCGCATCCATACATACATTCGGTACATTTCACCTTATCCCAGTGTTTTTTGTGCTTGTAACTGCAAAACAAGTTATCATGGACCCCAAGCGACAGTGTGGAGACTTAAATACTACTCTGCACCACTCCTTCCGACAGTATTTAAGTCTCCGCACTGTCGCTTGATCTTCAGATAGTTCCTGACTATGGAACAGAACTTCTCCAGGCTGAGGGACTGACAACCTCAAATGTACGACTTCAAGGGTGATGGACTGATTACATCGTCTTCACATCTCTACTGTTCCTGCCTGCTTTCTGTATTCGACTGAAGAAGCCTACTGTGTAGGCAAAACGTTTCAGAATAAAGTTGCCTAACTGTTGCCAACCTGGTGAAGGTACTTGTCCAGTTTCCTCTTGATGGCTTCTACACTTGTTCCAGCTATGTTTCTGATAACTTCTGGTAAGATGTTGAATCGTTTGGGACCCCGGATGTTGATACAGTGTTCCCGTATTGTTCCCACCACATCCCTGCTCCTCACTGGGTTTATTTTACACTTCCTCCCATATCTCTCACTCCAGTATGTTGTTATGGCAGTGTGCAGATTTGGGACCAGCCCCTCAAGTATTTTCCAGGTATATATTATCATGTATCTCTCTCTCTCCTCCACTCCAATGAATACATGCTTAATACTTGCAGGTGTTCCCAGTAGTTTAGGTGCTTTACAGGCTTAGTGTGAGCTGTAAATGATCTCTGTATTTGTACCAGCTCCGATATTTCTCCGGCTTTGAATGGGGCCATCAGCACTGAGCAATATTCTAAGTGAGGGAGCACAAGTAATTTGAAGAGTGTCACCATTGGCATTATTTCCTTTGTTTTGAAAGTTCTCAATACCCACCCCTTCATCTTCCTGGCTGTCATGGTCTTTGTCTTGTTGTGGTCTTTAAAAGAAAGGTCCGCTGACATAATTATTCCCAGGTCTTTTACGTGTTCCTTACTTTCTATTGGGTGACCCTTTTGAGTTTTATATATAGTGTTCCTTTTGAGTTTATTCTTTCTATACCTAAGCAGCTGGCACTTATCACCATTGAATGTCATGTTGTTCTCCACTGCCCACTGGAAAACCCTGTTTATGTCTTCCTGTACTCTTTCAGTGTCCTCTACCGTACTGACTTTCATGCTTATTTTAGTATCATCTGCAAATGATGGTACAAAAGTGTGCTGGGTGTTTTTGTCTATGTCTGCTATGAGGATGAGAAACAGCAGAGGTGCCAGG